ATGAATCAAAATTTCGTGAATATATAAAATTAACAAATTTCAAAACAAACTTTTCCCTCGGAAAGCAAATAATGACAATAGCCAAGAAATGTCAAATATGTAAAATCGGATCATATCGGAATCAATTTTGATGGATTGACTGAAGCTTAGGCCTGCCAAAAGCTTAGGCCTGCGCTTTATATAAAATGAATGAAGAATATGAAATGTCGACAAGATATGCGTTTCTGTAATTTTAAATCGATTCCCAAACAACGTATTGTGCAACGACTTATCGTCTGTCAGATTCAGTTGTTCGGTAGAAAAAGTTCCCTAAGAATTTCATTTCATGGCAGTGCACGCGACACTGATGAAGACGAATGTATCAGTTTTCAATTCTATTTCCGCTTTGCTAAACAATGCACCAAGACGTGACTTTTGTCTCTGTTCGCTGACTGCAAAGAGCTATGCAACGCGAACTCTGAAGATACTTCGAATTTTTTTTATTATCTATACTAAGGCTAAACTTTGGACATATATTGAAGATAATCCAGACTCGAAAACATCTGTATTACTACCGCAATGAAATGTATCGATACTAGTGACTTAGTGACGCATGGCATCGTGCCTTAAGACAAATTACTGAAACTTTCCGTGCCGTAATTTTTTTTTCAAACTTTATTACCTTTTTCTTACATTTTTAAGATACTTAACAGTTTTTCTTACGTACACATTAGTTTTTCTTACGTATTAGAAACATTTTTACTTTTTCATAACATATTGCATGATTATTACTTTTTCCTTTTATTACTTGAATTTTAACTTCTCCCAAAGGTGCACAGAGTCAGAGTCCTTGTGTTTTTCCTTTTTGAGTACAGGGATACAATCCGAGTACCTCTTTCTTACTTGTAAGAGGCATGTTGCTACTACAACTATTGCCCCCTCTGCATATACGTATGCTGCAGCAATGCCCACGAAAGGCCATTTTCACTTGAGATCATATTTGAAATCTATGATTTCAAGTGAAAATTTGGTATCAAGCTGCTTTGATACCAAACTGATCGGAGTTGGAATCGAACCCGGGACTAGGATTTGCTAGCCCACGTTCTTACCACGGGACCACGGCCGGCCCTGTTTATATTATTTAAAGCTTGAGTTGGTTGATTGTAGTCCCCATTGGGATACATCAAATGGCTTTTAAATTTATAAAATCGGTTCAGAAAACGTCGATCAAAAGTTTAATTTTGTCAAATGTCAAAGAAACGATACTAATTTTTGCAAACTTTGACGATTTTTCAAAATTAAACGACTTGTCGTAGGGCCATAATATTTTAGTATGATTTACAAGGCTATGGTATCTACCGTCAAAAAAAAATCATGAAAATCATCGATTTTTTTTTAAAAAACTATATTACAAAAAAACGGTCCGGCCGATATTTACCAAAAACTAATCAGCACGAATCCCAATCAATATCTATCGAACGGTTTTTGAATTTTCAAAATCGATTCAGAATTGCGCGCTAAAACGTGGACAATTTTTTTTTCACTTTTCTTTACAAAGAAACGGCCCAGCCGATCGTTGCACTGAGAAACGCTAGTCCTCATCGAGATACATCGAATGGCTTTTAAATTTTTGAAATCGATCCAGCCGTTTTTGAGAAAACGTCGATTTACGGCAAAAAATCTGTTCACACACACACACACATACTTTTTCCAAATTTGGTCTCATTCGATTCAGAATGGCTTGAAACGTCGAGAAAACATAAAATTAGCGAGTCGGATTTTTTGATAAAAACATAAACTTCTTCGGGAAGTTAAAAAATGATATTTGGCGGTCAAAAATGAACATTAGAAGTATGCACATCAAATTATCAGACATTTGATAAAGTTTTTAAAAATGAGTACTAATTTTTTGTTACAATTTTGTTGGGTTCCGTACCAAGATTTTTAATTTTTGAAGTTCACTTATACGGTTCAAGTAACTTTCAAAATTTTCCGAAAAAAATTTAAAATTTTTCAAAAATATACAAAGTTTTATACTTCAAATGTGAATTTCAAATTCACAATTTAGTTTCAAGATGTATATAGTAGAATCCTCAGACGGATTCATTCATTCACCTCCTGCTAATGTAAACTTTCACAGCGATAAGATCCTCACTGTATATTTTATGAACGATAAAATATATAGTGATTATAATTATCTATTCGAAAATGTATACAACAATTGTTGTAAATCATTGATAAATTTTATTGATTACTGATTTTTTCCCCTCGAATATATTCTGGTACGGAAAGTTTCAGCAATTTGCCTCAAGGCACGGCGCCATACACCACTAGTTATTTCTTTCAATGCAATTGCGCTGCATAGCTATTTTAGGGATAAAACATCAACTTTATTCTACACAAAGTTTTTTTTACAGCAATAAGAACTATTAAGTGTTCTATAAGCTGTACTGAGCACTGCTTTTTACTAAGACGTTTGTTGCGGTTAGTAAGCAATCCATTGATTGACCTAACTTTATCTGAGATATCGTTCTAATTTTTATACTGAACACTATTGAAAAACAAAGCCCAGATCGTCAATCTCATTGGGGTATTGCAGCAATGCCGGATTAAGGGCTAGTTTTACTTGGAAACATATTGCTATTCCCTATTCATATTAATATTTCCAAGTGAAAATCGTTGTCACTTCTGCCTGACAACAAGCTGTTCAAAGTGGGTATCGAACCCGGGGTCTCTGAATCAGTCCCGACGCTTTTAATCATAATTCGATTGGTATTGATGAAAAAATATGCCGTTCAGTTTCTGGAAGAGGCAGGTCTAGCCATTCCGGAGTTATGGAGAAAAAAGCGAATAAACATTCAATTTTTGAGAGAACGGCACATTTGATTAAAATGCCATTCCAACAATTTGTCTGAAGGTACAATGCCATGCACCACTAGTTTTTATAAATCATTTTCAAAATTTTAGTTTAACATAAAAGGTGTTTTAAAATCTATGAACGAATCGCAGAGTTATAATTGAGATGCAGAAGCAAGGTATCTGCAAGCCTAACTAATACATTTAAATTTCTGAAAATATTTTGTTTTCTATAAACAAAATCAAATTCTACAAAAAAATAAAAATGTAAAATGTATTTAATATATTGTTACAGAATTTTTATTTTATAATTAGGTGTATCACACTTTTAAATTCGCTGCCAACTTGGCATGTAAGTAGTACTTCTAAAGTAATTAAAAGTGCAACTTAAATTTTGGCTCTTAATTCACAAATTTTGAATAAATTTGCAGACCCAATATTAAGCCTAAATGATAAGTTGGGGCTAGGCGATTGCAGAGGTCCCAGGTTTGATCACCGTCTATAGATAATATGCAGAAATTTATGAATTTTATTTAAAAAACTTTCAGAAGCGCTATAAATATGGTTCTAGTTTTGCATTTAATTTCTTTTTGCGTATCATCTCTTGCATCCAAATCTGAACTTTATCTTAAATGATCAATAAGTATAGC